ACGCGATAAAATCCGTAAAAGTAGTTTTATTCAAGAATCAAGATTAGGAAGCATAATCTAAAAGTTTGGGAGTGTGGACTGTTTATTGATTCCGAAGATTATTATTTATGGACAACTACCCATGGGCTTATTGGAGATGATTCTCTAAATTAAATCAAATGTCTTATTTCTGCTTCTAATATACCACATTTGGAAGCCATAACTAAAAAAGATCAAATTTCGTTTGATACGAGAAGGACAAAAAGAGAAAAGAAACCATGATTACTATTATCAGGTCCAGGGATAATTACATATCACTGGCAGGCAATTTTGTTTTTTCGTAGTATGGACACAAATTTTTCATGTTTTCGTAATTAATTTAATAAACCATTTGGTTTGGCGTAGGAAAAAATTAAGTATTATGACCACTTTTGGACAGTAAAAATACAGCCAAGACTTTACTCATTTTATTTTTAATGTTTATTACCTGAAATGATTGACCCTCGAGTTCCTAGAAAAATGGCAGTTCGAGAAAGAGTGTAAAGTAATATTTAATAATAAACAATAATAATTTCTTCAAGTTGTTACTTTTTATTTATTTGCCTACTAACTTTATTGTAAACTCAAAATCTTTTTTTATTGAATGTCCTTCTTCAATAAAATAAAACTCTTAATTAATTACTAAATAATCGCTAAACACTGAAAAATCACAGATATTTACTTTTCATGAGAGGTATTATCTTTGTAGGTTATCGATATTATTTTCTCCTCCCTAGGCGATAATAATATCGATAGCACCTCTAACATCACTACATTATGACCCTGCCCCCGACACGTATCGTGCGATAGAGAGAGTTGCAAGTCTTGAAGGCAATTGCCTACATATTTTTTTGAAGTATTGTTTCCGGCGATAACGTTTTTACCTCCCTAAACTATTACAAAATAAAGGTGGCTACTGACCTGCCTGCCGCAGGAGCAATTTAGGGTGTAGGAGTGGGGATGACCCTTAATTGCCTCCTTAATTGTGATGTGTGTAGGCAAGCAGCGGCAATTTTTAAGTCGGCCCTGCGGCAGGGCGGCAGGAGCGCAGTGTTGCAAAAGTTCCCGATTTATCGGGAGATCTATTGATTTTAATTAGTATCTCCCGATATTCCGATTTAGCGAATATATCTCCCGATTTTTTTACATTTCCAACAAATGTAAAATAATAATCATAAATAAAATTGCAAAGTAATAATCAAAATACTAATTGACTGAATTGAATGAACTTTTAACACAAAATCTATGTACGGGGACTTCCCGAAATTGCTCGCACCACGTCCTATGGGACCTATACCTATAACTTTATTAGGTTTTTAACTTCGCGGTATGGTTAAAGCATATTGCACTGATCAGTGGAGTAGCGTGCCTTAGAGGGGCCCTGTATCAAAATTTGTCGGGGGGCCCAAATAAAGGGTAAAGATTTTTCACAAAAGGAACAAAAACTCTCGCATTAAATTAAAATAATTATATCTTGATTATAAGTTATTACTTACAATGATTACTCCTAGAAACTAAGCTAGCCAAACAATTCAAACCAACATCCTGTTCCATAGAAGTCCTTAGAATTTCTGCTTACATACGTTCGGGGCCCCTGTAGCCCGGGGGCCCCGTATCATTGATACGGCTGATACGGCGGTAGCTACGCCCCTGGCACTGATACATCTTAAAATAGAGTTCATTATTGTCTGGTAAGTGTACGGGGGAGATCCCTAAAGATTACTTTGTTCGGGTTGTTTTACGAATTAGGTAGCTTAGGCCATGTATACATAGTGTAGTTCGTTCATAGAATTACATTCACTAATTACTAGCCTTCTTCTGTTTTGTTGAGAACTGTTGTGCTTTATGTCCAAATTTGTTAGGTAGCATTAGTTATCAAAAAATTAGTATAGAATGGCGTTTGCTTCTAAATACGAAAGAAATGAAATCACTCAGTGAAGAAACAGAAGAATTTTGGAGAAGCGTGAGTAGCAAAAATATATAATCATAAAATTTTAGTTAAAAGACATTATTTTGATCGCAAAAAAAATGAAACAAAAAGAACGACATCTAAAAGAACGTTTTATGATACATTTCTAAACCCATGGATGTAAATAAAAATCTCCCGATTTCTCCAGATTTTTAGCTGGCAAATCACACTTCACTTTTGCAACATTTCAGGAGCGCAAGACCTTCCTTGCTCCCTAGATCGGCCCTGCCGCTGCGCTGTTGCGTGCACAGAACACTAATACCCTTAGGCGGGGTTGCGTGTGTAGCGCAATTGGGCCAATTTCGTTCAGTTCGTTGAGAGAATTGAGGCAGGTCAGTAGCCACCTTAAAGGTGGCTACTGACCTGCCTGCCGCATGGGCAATCTAGGGTGTAGGAGTGGGGATGACCCTTAATTGCCTCCTTAATTGTGATGTGTGTAGGCAAGCAGGGGCAATTTCTTAAGTCGGCCCTGCGGTCTTCGATATTGCTCCGATCGCTGTGCTCCCTAGATTGCCCCTGCGGCAGGCAGGTCAGTAGCCGCCTTAAGACAATTTTGGTCTTATTAGATTCAGTACACTTTAGTCTAGGCCTGTACGTTTTACTTTTTTAGTAATCATTTTAAATTTAATTTAAAAAAAACGCTCGAGGAAGTTTTTAAGTCAAAAATATAGATATAAACTTGTCTTGTATACAATATTTCTTTAAAATAAAAACGTACGGGCCTAGCTTTTATCATATCTACAACATTTCCAAAAATTATTAAAATTAGACTATATTTACGGGAGGGAAAACGTTATCGCCTTTTGTATGAAAATTTACAGCTTCACAATCCTCTTAAATAAAAATACCATATAAGCATCAGCTGATTAGCGACCGTCAATACGGTTTCCGTCTACGCTGCTGGTGATCTCCTTGTTTACCTGACTCACCGATGTGGTGCGGGGGTTGTTGATACTAAGTGGAAGGCCCTGGCGGTTAATTTGGACATAGCGAAGGCCTTCGCTCGGATTTGGTACAAAGCTCTTCTTTCAAAGCTTCCCTCTTATGGGCTTCCCGAGAAATTATGCAATTGGGCCACCAGTTTTCTTAGAGATTGGATTATTAAGGTAGTAGTCGACTGTGCATGCTGGTGTTCCACAAGGCTGCATGCTATCGCTTACCCTGTTCCTTCTGTATATCAATGAAGTGTTGCATACTAGTAACAATCATTCTTATGGAGATGGCAGTTGTAGCTGCTTTAAGATGCTTTATACACCGGCCGTGCTAATATTTCTAGAGATCACGTCGTCGTGTGAGGGACCAAACTTGTGTCTGAAGTCGAGTCTTTCTAAATCTAGTCCAGTTTAATCCCCAAGACACAGGTTTGCGCGTTTACCACAAAAAAATAACCACTTTGTCCTAGCCTCTTAACTTCACATTTCGAGAAACGTACATTCTGCAGTTACTTGGAAGGAAAGGCTACAGTGGCAACAAAAAGCTTGGTGTGCTTGCAGCTTTACAAAGCGCAGGTTCGGCCTCACATGGAATACTGTTCTCATCTCTGGGTCGGAGCACCCCAGCATCAGTACCTTCCACTTGACCGTATTCACCGGAAAACGGCCCAAATCGTCGATGACCACGTACTCTGCGATCGGCTTGATCCAGTGGCCCTGCGAAGAGACCTTGCATGTCTATGCATCTTCTACCGCATATACCACGGGGAGCGCTAAGTGGAATTGTTCGGATTATTTTCAGCTGCTGAATTCCACCATCTTACACTGCAACAGAACTCGAAATTCCATCCTTATCATCTCGATGGCTGGCGGTCCACTACTGTGCGATGTACGCGGAGTTTTCTGAATCGCACGATTATACTGTAGAATTTACGGTCGCCTGTGGTTTTTCCGGACCAATACGACATAGGGACCTTCAAGAAAAGAGTCTACTCTTTTCTAAAAGGCCGGCAACGCACCTGCAATTCCCGCAACACCTGCAGTTTTTTTTTATAGAAATAGGGTGACAAACGAGCACACAGTCCACCTGATGGTAAGTGGTTGCTGTGGCCCATAGACATCTACATCTATCCTCGTTTGCGAATCAAAATGCAGATGCGTTGTCAGCCTTGAGGACTAAGATGGAATGCCTCTTTTCCAGTAAAAAGGGTCTCCGGTTCTCTACACTCACCATACGAAACACAGCAGCATTAAGCCGCTATTTTACGCTGGTATTCTGTGAGAGCGTGGTCCTTCCCCGGTCGAGCCGACCCATTCGTGTTAAAACTATATTATAAATATAGCTGAGCTTGGCATTACCACGTACAATCAGTTGTAAATGGTGAAGCGGATGTTCATGGGCGATAATGATACTTACTTACCATCAGGTGAGACACGTTTACTTAATTTTATTTAATTTAAAATTTTCTCCGCGCGCCACTTGGTAACCTTGGGTCCCTAGGCACGTGCCTAGTTTGCCTTTAGGATAATTCGCCAATGATTTTTGTGTTATCCTGTATCTACTTCTAATTTCATACTGTGTTCCATGAATGTTTTATAATGTAAAGTTTATAATCAAGAAATATTAGTTTATATTAAAATAACTTTTAGAGTAGTCTCCAATGGTAATCATCAGGAAAAGTGATAAAATAATAATTAAAATGGAATACATTAACTTGACCTTCAAATTATACAAATAAAAGTTATTGTCTAAGATGACATAATGTAAGTGTATTTAAAACACCTCAAACTTTCTGCATATGGTTTATTGTGGATTGCTATAAGTTACAAAAAAGTAGTAAGTTGACAAGTAAGTTATGATTTTAGAAAGTACGGAAAAACTTGCATTTTCGTCACGAACCCCACCTCGTATATCATGTCATATTCTGTCGATTTGATTGGCTGGACGACTGCATCGACGTAGTGTAGTACTAGGTTAGCAGCATATCAGCCCTTATGCGCTCACCATGACACCATGTATGTAGTAAGTAGCGTAAAGAGTTAGAAATTACATAAAACATTATTTATTAATGGTTAGAAGTTTAATTAGTTGTATACCACTGCGGTAAAATTTCATATATAGAATTTTCAATGACATTTATTGTTTTATCAGAGTTTAATTGAAAATTTAAAGTAACAGGACCTGTACATGTTTTCTGCGTTAAACAATTTTTAATGTAACTGAGAAAATAATTCAGATAATTAAGTGCTGTTTCAGGGTTCCATTCATTCTGTAAAGAAAAATAGCTGTTATAACATGAACTGTAAAAATTTTAAGAGGTCTCTGTTGTCCTTTACAACTTACTTTACAATATTTAATAATTTCTTGTTGCTCATACCATTGTAATCTTTCTACAATACCTTCTTCATTTCTGAAGCCTACAAGTAGGCCTTTTAGATTTGCTAAATAACACTGGCACCAACATCTTAACATTTTGTATCTTCTGTAAATGAACAGCAATTAATCTGTTTTTATTTATAAGTAAAAAAAAAACATCAACAGACATTAAGCTACTGACTTATAAAAAAAACATGATTTATTTCTTATATTTCAAAAAGTTTTCTTACCTAAAATTTCTTTCTTGTCTTTGATTCATTAAATGTCTATTGGTTTTCAATTCTAAATATTCATTATTTCTTAAATAGTTTAAGTTACTTTCGGTATTTAAATTTGCTGGTGGGTTTGGTACTGCACCATTTGTAGCTAACATTCCATCAATTTGTGCACCATAAATTAAATTATAACTACCTAAAGAAGCATAGTAAAACAAAGAGAATTCTTCATTTTCTATGACTGGCCTTTCAATGTTAGGGCAAGTGTTGGGTGAATCTGTAACAAGAAACCGTACCATACTTATCTATACAAATAAATATAATTGAAGTGTCTGTTTGTAATGTCAAAATTACAGCTTTTTACTAAATGCATATGAAAGTATATACGGTACTAATAACAAAAATACAATTTTTAAAGTTTTTGTCTGTATGTATGTCTGTCTGTCAGTCCGTCAGTCTGTCTGTCTGTTCCAGCTAATATCTGAAACGGCTGGACCGATTTTGACGGGATTTTCACTGGCAGATAGCTGATGCCACAAGGAGTAACTTAGGCTACTTTTATTTTAGAAAAAGGATTATAGTTCCGCACAAAAAAAATTAAAACCCCAAATAACATATGGGCGAAGTCGCGGGGAACAGCTAGTCACAATATAAACTAAAAAAGTGCTTAGATTAATCTGGTCGATGCAGATCAAATAGACTGATAAATAAATAAAATAATAGACATGCAGGTAATAATCTTAACAAAGAATGTGATAGAATGCTATGCACAGAAGCGTATCCGCTGACTCTAGGTGGGGCTCTTTGCCTCTTTGCAACAGGAAAAAAAGTTAGGAAAGCATTAAACATGGTAATAAATACTTCTAAAATAAAGACTGGAAGTTACATATAAAAGCCAAGCCTAACTAAAGGAAATGTACCTATAAGATTTCTTTTTCGATTTGATGATTTTGATTTTTTTGACAAATATAGTATTTCTCTCAAAAAAGTTTTAAAAATATAGGACTTTTGGGAAATTCAGGAAGAAAGTAAAATTTTTAATCTTTATGTATTTATCCATAAATATTAGTAATTGCTCTTCACTTGGGCCATTAATTAACTATTACCTTTTATAGGAATCTGAGCAATTTAGACTCATCTATATAAATAAATAAAATTGAATTGTCTGTTTGTAATGTCAACAGCTGTTTACCAAATACATATGAAAGTATAAATGGTACTTATAACAAAAAACATTTTCTTTAATTTTTGTCTGTCTGTTTGTTCCGGCTAATCTTCGAAACGGCTGGACCGATTTTGACGGGACTTTCATTTTATAAAAACAATTAGAGTTCCGAGCAAACAAATTAAATCCCATGAAATCCAATTGTAATAAAATTGACACGGGCGAAATCGCGGGGACAGCTAGTATTAAAATAAATTAACAATACATTTTTTTAATAAACAATTTATTCATTAAATTAATAGCTACGCTCTATTTCTTTCTTCTTTCCATTTTACATTCAATTCGGAAAAATCTTTCCGTAAAACTTACTAGTTCCAGACTTCCGGTCAGTTAGCTACAAACGGAGCAAGAGATAACATTGTTTACAAAGAAATTTTGTCTTTTTGATGTTTTTTTCTTTGCACGTATGAAAACTTTAAAATAATATTTAACTGTCTATGGCAGGAGGGGGAAGATGGAGCAGGGGTGTTTCCTATCATAACTGTAAGGATTTCTGGGCGCTCATGTATTTTTGGGCTGAAAAAAAAATAACCACGATAGCTGTGGCGGGAGTAAAGCTCAGTACAGCTTTTAACCTAACTCGACTGATAAGATTTCTGGTTGTAAAGTATGTAATAATCATTTCTTTATTGTCTATAAACATAATTTATTATGAGAGCATAGATCACTGAAGAATAAAAATACCTTGAAAGTATTATAATGTGACACTAGTCTTTGACATGGTTTTATGTCCTTGTCGCGCTTACACAAAAATTTTGTATGCTATCCAGCTTTCACAGTAATATTGCATACGTTTTTCCATGTTTTACACATTTGAGGTTATAATAGTTTTTGTTTTATTTCTCGGAAACAGTGCATTACCTTTACTGATATTGGTATTGTTATAATCGGGGACCAAACCTCTACCAAATACAACACCTTACTCCTGCAATTTTCTGCCAAATGATTCTAAATCCAACGCTATCATTTCAAGTCATTTCCATTTAATTTGTCGAACAGTATTTTTTGGGTCAAGAAATTTTAAAAACTAATTTAATCAGGTTTTAAAGTAAAATTAAAAATGTAACTTTCTATAAAAACTAAATTGTTAGTAAAATAAAATAAAATTGATTTATCACCTGACAGCAAATACTGTTCAAATTTATACCCCCAAGCACAAAACTTTTCCTCTTCTTTTGTGCGCGATTTTCTCTTCATGATTTCCTGCAGAGTATCTAATGTACACAAGTAAATAGAACCATTATACAAGCAAGCTGAAATGAGCAACGGTTCAACTTCATCAAAAGCATTACACATAATACTAATAAGAGTTCTCCTGTAGCAAATAAAGTCAATTTTTTTACTAATCAAATTTAAACATTCTCTTTGGTCTAAAAGATATTGTAACAAAAGGTTAATCATTTCATTGTTGTTATCTGTTGTACGCTTGGAAGGAGCATCTATATTGTGATTTAAGTTGAAATGTATCCTTCCTGTCGGAATTTTTGTTAAATATTTTAACTGAGACAAGTTAAAGTGATACTGCCGGGCTTCGTCCACACTCATATAGCCAATAATATACGGTTTACTTAAAGCCATAAATCTACTTTGAAAATTTTCTATTTCCTTAGGATGTTTAAATTTATTTCTTGATTTAGGATATTTATTATTTCTCTTCATTATATTAGAATTCTAATTCCAGGAGGAACTTATTAAATATAGTAAATCAAGTAAATTTATTCACTATACGTTGTTTTTACTATTATTACACAGACTACTTAGTGGATACTACGTATTATTATTAGTAAACAATCACAAACTATATAGAAACACTATAAACAATAAACATGACCAAAGAGTATGAACATGACAATGTTGTTGTTGTTTTTATTATTCGCTCGAGAGAGCAGGCAAAGGAACTAAGCCATACAGCCTTGTCTTTTTTATTTTGAATATATAGAATTTTAGAGTGTAAAGGCCGGAACCAAGTCTTATTTTTCTTCTTTCCATCTCTTCAAAATCCATAAAGGCCGTAGTCAAGTCTTATTTTCTTTAATTCTTCATATTTTCAAATACCCGTAAAGGCTAAAGCCAAGTCTTCTTTATATTATATTCTTTGTAAGTTTCAATCCATATAGATTTGTCAATCCAATATTTTCAAAAACAGGGATACCATATTTCATATTTCTTTTACAGTATTGTGAATAAAATTGCAAAGTGCTAAATATGTCTTAGTATTCCTAAGAACATCTTGCAGAGCACGCGAGATGCTTTCTGAGTTTTCATAAATTTGTATAAGTTTTTCAATGAGTAGCAATCTTTCTATGGCGTACGCTGGGCAGTTAAATATTATATGTTCTGCAGTCTGATCTGCTTCTGTAATGCAGAAATTGCATGTTGCAGATGCTACTATTCTCATCCTGGAAAGATGAGCGTTCAGTCGATAGTGGCTAAATCTAAGTCTGCACATTATTGTATAAAATTTTCTGCTATGATATCTTTGCATATCGTTGCGAGAAAACCAAGGAATACTTATTTCTGAATTAATTGATGCATACCAACGACCTTTTCCTGCCTCTAAAACAGCGTTCCATTGCATTTTCCATTCTTCTTTTAACTCTTCCTTTAAAATTGAATATAAATCTGTATGTGGTATTGCAACAACGGTTATCCTGTCAATATCAGCTGTAACTATACTTTTAGCTAAATGATCTGCTCTTTCATTTGCTTGAACCCCAATATGTGACGGAGTCCATAAAAATTTTACTTCCAAATTATTTTCTTTCAATTTCCACCACAAACTTTTGATTTCATATATGATGAAAGACGTTTTAGCATCTAAAGCTCTTGCCTTCAGTGCCTTCAAGACACTCATGCTTTCAGAGATCAGTAACCATTTATTAGATACATGTGGGTGTTCTTCTATATATTTAAGAGCGATTAAGACAGCATAACATTCTGCGGTGTATATGCTTGCTAATGCAGGAATGGAAAGGCCACGTCCAGTTTTCAGATGAGGTATGTAAAATGCACAGGCTACTTTATTTTCAACTTTTGAACCATCTGTGTAAATTTGTCGATATTCATCATATGTAGATATAAGTTCATAAACCTCTTCTTTTCTTTTCAATTTTTCATCAATATTTATGTGTATATCACTGAATTTACTTTCATAATTCCCCTTATAACAAAGCCAAGTATGTGTGCTTTTGTGAATATTATATTGTTCATCATATCGTATCACTTCATGAAAGTCATGGCGTATATATGGGGCTGAGTTAGATATAGGAGACATATCATTATAGTAAAATAATACTTTTTTAAAAAGAGGATGATGAGACAAAGAATTAATATTTAATAAATACCTAAATTTCAGATATTTAAACCTAAGTAAGATAGGAGGAGTAAGACATTCAGCCTGTAAAGAAACAATAGGAGTTGTTCTCATAGAGCCGGTAATAAGTCTTAAATTCTTATTTTGTATATTTTCTAATTTGTTTACTAGTTTTTTATTTGATGCAAAACAAAAAAGCCGTACTCAAAATGGCTCCTCACCAAAGACTTATATAACATTAATAATATTTCTGGATCAGCTCCCCAGTTAGTACTAGCCAAAGCTTTTAATACATTAAAGACCTTAAAAGCTCTGTCTGAAATAGAATTCACGTATTTGGTCCAAGATAAATTATTTGTAAAAATTACACCTAAGAATTTTGCACAACTTTCTATTGGTAAAAATGTATTATTATAAATTATTCTAGTGTTAAATGGACGAATTTTATTAAATATTACGACTTTACTTTTCTCAGTACTAATATCTAAATTTAAGTATGAAAAGTAAATGTGCAATTTCTTTAAAGCCTCATTTAAAGTTGATACCAAGTTTTTGACATTTGTTCCTGAGGCATATATGACAAAATCATCTGCATATTGTAAATTAGTAACATTTGATCCTAAAATATTGTTTAATTTAAATATCTATAAAATAAAGATAAGAGGACTTAATATTCCTCCTTGACAAACACCTTTATAACTGAGCCTAGGACCAATATTTGTATTATTATTATTAACTTTAGCAAAACTCTTCTTTCATGTAAAAAGTTACATATCCATTTTACAATTTTTTCAGGAATGGCCAAAGACCTCAACTCTGCGGCGAGTACATGAAGATTAACGTTATTAAATGCACTAACAATGTCAAAGAATATACTAATTAATACTTCTTTATTTTCCATAGCTTTAAAGATGTCTAAATGTAGAAATGCAATACTTTCTCTAGATGACTTACGGCGTCTGAATCCAAACTGATTTGATGGTAAAAGACAATTTTTTTCTAGATAAAATTCTAATCTAGATTTTATTAGTTGCTCAAATATTTTATCCATACAAGATGTAAGTGCTATAGGTCTATAAGATTCTGTAATGTGAGGTTTTTTTCCAGGCTTTAAAGTGGGTATCAAACAATCTTCTTTCCAATCGTTAGGAATAAGTGAATGAAACCATAACATATTATATATTTTCAAAACTAGTTCTCTACACGCAGTATTCATATTTTTTAAAGCTTTATATGGAACAGAATCTAAGCCACAAGCAGTGTCTTTTCTAGAGTTAACAGCTGAATTGAATTCGGTCAAGGTAAAAGATTTGGTAAGATAATCACAATGATTATCATTTGAGGAGTGAGGGGTTAGAGGTGTTTCATCTGTTTCTGGAGTATATTTTTTCAAAAAGTCATTAGCCCAATTAGAATCTATGACAGATGTGTTATTATGAACAAAAGTTTTATTAAACTTTTTAATGTAATTCCATACTCTACTCAATGGAGTAGATCTATTAAAAGTTTCACATAGTTTTTTCCAGCTAAGCTGTCTTTCAGTCTTCAAAGTAATTTTTTTAACAGCTTGTAGTCTTTTAAAATTAATATAATTTCGTTCTGTGGGATCATTCTTAAATACTAAATATGCATTTTTACAATTTAATACTGCCTCTTTGCATTTTAAATTCCACCAAGGTAGAGAATTTCTTTTTATTCTTTTAAATTTTTGCAAGTTTGTTATTTGATTTTTGCAAGTTGATGTTAACATTTCGATTAGAAGACTGATTGGATGGTGTGGATTCATGCATGGCTTGTTTAATTAGTTCTATTAAGTCTGTATAATATTTTCTGATTACTATAATCAAAACTATAATTTTTAATTAAATTATCTATTAAATTTGGATATTTTGACCAATCTACCAATTTTAAGTTTATGTTATTTATACAGCTGTTTCTTGAAAATTTTGATTATTGACCGTAATTTTTGTCTTTACAGGAAAATGATAGCTGCCTAGAGAATCATCATCACATACTTGCCACTCACAAGACAGAGCCAGTGAAGATGAAACAAGTATTAAGTCTAATGCGTTCTGCCTCCATCTATGAGATCCTGCTGTAGTCATCTGACCATCATTCAAGCTCACAAGATTGTTCTCATCTATACTTGCAAGAACGTCCCTACCTCGTGAATCTAATTCGTTCGCTAAGGCGTTGAAATCACCAGCTATAAAGACTGACTGTGGCAAACTTTGGATTAAATTATCTAATTTGGATTTATTATATATAATTAATTGGTGAATTAGGGGGACAGTAAACACTAACTTAAGTTAATAATTTATCATTGTATTGTATTTGTACAGCTATATTTTGTAATGAGTCATCAGAAAATGTATTGATAACACGAAATCCAATTTTGTTATGTAGAAGTATTGCTACTCCATTATGATTATTACCTGAATTTAATCGTATAATATTATAACCTTTTACTCTAAAATTGTGCCTAGGTTTAAGCCAAGTTTCACATATGAGAGCAACATCTATGGTGTTCTCATATAAAAATTATGTAGATTGAAAGCGATTTTTAATTAAACTCTGTGCATTCCATTGTAAAATGTTAAACTGATCCATAAAATATTAAATGTTTAATAATGAAATATCTATTTTGGTTTCATTGTATCTATGAGAACATCTTTAATAAGCTGAGAAGATATGGTGGTTTGTTCATTTGATTTATTAAGAGTTAATACTTTAATGACTGTATTTAAAATTATATTAATAATGTCATCATTCTTTAGCAGTGACATAAGAGCATCTTTGGGATTTTTTTTGTTTAATTCTGGGAATTCAGTTTTTATTAAAAAGGTCTACAAATGGGATTTTGTGTAATTTAGCCTGATTTTCTTTTATCTTTTGTTTCTTAACAGGACACTGTCCAGAAATGCTTAGATGGTTTCCTTTGCAATGTATGCATATCGCTTTATCTGAAGAGACTTGGCAATCTTTGTAGCTGTGATTTTCAGTACAAATTGAGCATTTCACAGAATTTTTACAATACTTTGCTAAGTGACCATACCTCAGACAATTGTAGCACTGCTTCACTGGTGGAATATACTGATTTACCACGAACCGCCAACCATGAAGATCGATGTGGTCCGGCAAAACATTAGAAGCGAATGTGATGGCCACGGTGCCCGTCGGCTGCAGCAAACTGGGTCCTGCATCATTCTTATGTTTCCTCATTATCCTTTTAACACCTATTATCTTCCTGTAAGTCGTTAACATACCAAAAATTCTTGAATTAGAAAGATTAGTGGGAACATTGGTTATGACTCCTGTTATTTCTGTCCCTACAGCTGGGAGAGAT